TCAGGCAGATTTGGAGTCTGAATGGTTTTTAGTCCTTTTGACTTGGAATATATTGTACTGGCTCAAAACTCCAAAGAAAGAGGTTAGGAACAAGGACACCTGTGACTAGAGAAGTTTAGTTCTTTGTATACATTTGGAGCCAATCTACAATTTACATGTTTCTGTATTAAATAGTAGTTGTCCCTCCCTCTAATAACATGCTTCCCCTCCTCAGCCCCACCCCCACGTTAAAGGTTTTACTTTGGATTCCGAGACCCTGTGGCCAAATGAGGGTGGGGTTTTTGTTTAAACTTTAGAATAAAAAGGAAGTCTGGATCTGGTAGATTGATTGGCAAAGGAACTTTCCAAGTCTATGCAATGGCTTCTATCAGGCCCAGGCATCGAAGAGCCATAATTCATTCTGGCAGCAAGGTAGGATGAGTGGGGACTCTTGGGGACATATGGGGACACTTGGGGACATGTGGAGACACTTGGGGACTTGTGCAAACTCAGTCCCTTACACCCCACCCCCCTGACTTTCTCTGAATTTTGAACCTCTCACAGGGTGGCTGTAGGAAAGCTAGAGAAAAAGAATAGAGGCAAAGCTCAAATATTAGGGCTACAATACTAGGTAGGGTAGGTGTCCTCATTTTATGCCTAAAAACGGAAAAGACCTAGACAATTTTTACTGTTGTAGCAAAATGAGGTAACTGTTTTGTAGGTCTGCTTTGAAGGAGAGAGAGAGAGAGAGAGAGAGAGAGAGAGAGAGAGTGTGTGTGTGTGTGTGTGTGTGTGTGTGTGAAATGTTTATTTTAGCTTTGGTGAATGACTGGTTTATCTTTCCTTTTGATTTAAATTTAGGTTATTTCACAAGCAGTCATGCAGAGCAGGGCTGACCTCCATGCTTCTGTGGAATGTGGGAGGTAAAATACAGTATCTAGCATGATTGCATCATCTGAAAGCCAACATTAATGGAACCACCAACGGGTCTCCTAAGTTTTTTCTCCAAACACTTAATTTTCAGGTTGAGAACATAAGTCCTTAGGGTGTCACTTCTCCTCAGGCATAAGCACTTTATATGGGTTGCTCCTTGTCTTCTACATGCTAGTTTTTAATGTTTTTTTCCTCAAAGGGGACGAAGGATAGTTCTTGGTTGGGGGGAAATGGCGGAAAAAACTAGACATTACAATGGGGCTACATTCCATAAATAGAAACACACTATATCTGTGAAATTAAAATTTCATTTTCCTAGATTAACCGGGGGGGTGGGGGTGGGGAAAGGCATTAAGACTCCTGAGGTGGGGGGGGGGGGGGGGTAAAACAAAGCCAAAAATGAAAGGCATGTTGAGAAGCACTGATCTACCTGTAGAAAAGGTCAGAGTCTTGTGACCCATGTCTCTGTACATGCTTTGAAAGATGTTTTCATGTGATCTGAGCACCTGTTTCTTGATACACAAATACAGCATGTATGGAATGTGAGTGCTGGGAGAGGCTACAGTCAGATTCTGTCCAAAGGGCATAGTCATTTCAGGATAAAATACCACTTTGCTCAGTGCCATTTGAGCTCATTCAAGAGTGGGTGTAAGAGTATCACTATGATAGGAATGTGGAGAAATAAGAACAGAAGGGGCTCAACAACTGTTGGGGCCAGATCTGATCTAAGGTGTTCAACATTCCTGTTGGTTTGGAATGGGTAAGAGGGGCCCAGAGCAACCTCTATTCTTGTGACTAGTATAGAGTGCAAAGCAGAAAGCTGTGAGACTTTGAATTACTCACTGTCCTTTAAATGGTACCCTTGGGCCCTTTTGGGGTGGTAGAGGAGGAAGAGAAGAGACTCAGGTGGGTAAGTCAAATGAGTTTGGGTTTCCAGAGTGCATATTGAATATTATGGAATAAAACAGCCACCATTTCAACATTTGTGTAACACTTAACTTCCTTTGGAGAGTTGGCTTCTCATTAGAGAGGTAGGTGTTAACAAATATTTGAGATGTAAAATGGATATTTTGGAATTCACTACTTTAATCTACTGTTTAAGTAGATTAAATGTCAAGGAAGTCTTTGTTAAAAATTCAGAGGTGCCTGGGTGGCTCAGTTGGTGAAGCGTGTGACTCTTCTCCAGGGTTCCTGGATTAGAGCCCCACAATGGGCTCTGCACTGGAGCCTCCTTGGGATTCTCTCTCTCTCTCTCTCTCTCTCTCTCTCTCTCTCTCCCTCTCCCTCTCCCCCTACCCCCCAGTCTCTGCCCCTCTCCTGCTTGCTCTCTCTCAAAATAAAAATAAGCTTAAAAGAGTTCATGTAGTTAGCGGAGGCTGCACCAGTAGTTTCTGTTGGTGCACTCAGCAGTATGATGGAGTCAGCTCCTTCCAATTCTGGGATTGAGTGCGTTCGTTTTTATGTTTTATTTACTTATGAGAGAGAGAGAGACAGAGTGCAAGCAGGGGAGGGGCAGAAAGAGGGAGACACAGAATCTGAAGCAGGTTCCAGGTCCTGAGCTGTCAGCACAGAGCCTGCCATGGAATGGGGCTTGATCTCACTCGAGATCTCACTCGTGACCTGAGCCAAAGCATCAGTCAGATGCTTAACTGACTGAGAAACCCAGGTGCCCCTAAAGGAAATATACTTTAAAAATCAAAACCGTATTTAATCAGGTCTGGGGTGTTTTTTTTGTTTTGTTTTGTTTTTTGTTTTTTTATGTTTGTCTATTTTTGAGAGAGGCAGTGTGATTGGGGGAGGGGTAGAGAGAGAGGGAGAAACAGAATCTCTAGTAGGCTGTGCTGTGCGGTCAGCATGGAGCCCAGCATGGGGCTTGAACACACAGACCATGAGATAATGCCCTGAGCCAGTCAGACACTTAACCAACTAACCCACCCAGGCGCTCCTTTTTTTTTTTTATTAAAAAAAATAAAACCATTGCATATAAAGGTTCTATATCCACTTTTTTGGTTTGGTTGTTTCTTTTAACCAAATAATGTCCAGTATATCCTGGACATCTTTGCCTATTAGCAATGGAATTTTTTTTAAAGATTTAAATTAAAATTTTTTTTTTATTGTTTAGTTTTGAGAAAGAGAGAGACAGACAGACAGAGACAGCCAGAGCATGAGATCTGGAGTGGTAGAGAGAGATGGAAACACAGAATCCGACCTAAGCTCCAGGCTATCAGCACAGAGCCCAACTCAGAGCTCGAACCCACGAACCCTGAGATCTTGACCTGAGCTGATGTCAGACACTTAACTGAGCCACCCAGGTACCTCTTAATTGAAAACCTTTTAATACCATTGCTGCCTTTTAAAAAAAAAAAGTCCATTATTCCAGATTTTTAAAGTTATTGAAATATAATAAACATATAGAAAATGTATATATATATTTGTATATTTTGAATTTTGGCAAAATGAACATAACCTGTGTTTTTTTTGAACATAACCTGTGTTAACTTGTGTACCCTGATCAAGAAATTAGTAATACAGTTTACTTCTACTAAGATTGTTTAGTGTTTAATTATACAGTTGGGTAATGCTTCAATATTTTATATTCTGAATGTAAGTATAGCCATCCTGAACTTTGATTCCATTTTTCAGCCAATACTCCTGGTTTTTCTATGGAGAAAAACCTTTTTTCTTTTAAAATAGAAAAACTTTCTTTTTTAAAGAAGTCTCCTAACTTTTGATACCTAATTTTTTTCCTCCCTGAGGCATTGACTAGAATGTGCAGAGCCATTTTAAAGATTAGGAAATGGAGCTTATCTTTCTATTTGCTCCTGACAGCAGTTGGAAATGCCCTTACTGTCTGAATTCCTATGCTATAATTTTGGATGACCCATTTCTTGGTTTTAAAAAATAGGGATTGGGGCCCCTGGGTGGCTCAGTGGATGACGCATTTCGCTATTGGTTTCAGCTCAAGCCTTGTCACACGAGTTCACTCAGAGCCTGCTTTGGATTCTCTGTCTCTCTGCCTGCCTCGCTCCCTCCACCCCCGCTCTCACTGTTTCTCTCTCTCTCAAAATAAATAAATAACAGAAATTTCAATGTTTATTCATTTTATTTTGAGGAGGGTGGGCCCTGTTTCTCTCTCTGTGTCTCTGTCTCTCTGTCTCCCTCTCCCCCTCTCCACCCCTCACTCACTGGAGCCCTCTTCTCTCTCAACAAAAGTAAAATTTAAAAATTAAAAATTTAATAAAATATTAAAAAAATAAATTATAGAGATTAATAGGGGAAATAGTGATTGGTTAGTGGGAAAAGGTTTCTCCTAGCAGTGATGAAAACATTCTGGAATTAGAGGTGATTATTTCATAACCTTGTAAATATTCTGAAAAACCACTGAATTGTAAGATTTTACATGGTAAAATGATTAATTTTGTAATATGTTATGGTGGTATACTTATAATAGCCAAGACCGCAAAATAACTCAAATGTCCATTTGTAGTAGAATCAATAAATACATTGTAGTCATTGTTTGACTATCCAACAATAAGAATCAATGGATTTCTTAACAACATGGATAATCACAAATATAATGTTGACTGAAAGGAAGTCAGTTATGTGAAGTGTGGAAGTAAGCAAAAGAAATCTATGATAGATGTCAAAGCAATGGTTACCCTTTAGCAGTAAAATGATGCTGAGATGGTAGTGTCTTGGCTGGAATCTGGGCACATAGGTGTTCATTTGTGACAACTGAGTTATATACTTATGATTTGTACAATTTTCTGTATGTATTTTGTATTTCAGTACAATTTGTATTAAAATAGATATTGCCTATTGAATGGTACCAACATAAAATTATTTTCAAATTTTATTTGGATAAACAAGTATACCAAAATATTAATAAGTGTGGGTTATGATAGTTTGTACTTTTTGGTCTTTTTCTTTTTCCCTACACAGCAGTTATTGCTATTTTGTTGAACATATAAAAAGCAAAAATATTTTTTCAGAGGCTTTATACTTAGTTCCTATTAAACTGTAAAGTTCCTATGGCTCTTACTCCGTATGTTTGCATAGATAATATGAGATATTTCTTTGTTTTGTAGGCAGATTTTGACAACAAACTAGTAAATGGCCCCAAGTCAGAATCCATGGAATACAGTAGATGCCATGGGGAGCAACAGAGATTGGAATTAAGCCCACCTCCCCATGAAAATGTAACTAAAAATGAAGAAAGTATGACAGGTGTTGAAGTGGAGAAGTGGACGCAAAATAAGAAATCACATTTAACTGATCATGTCAAAGGAGAATTTAAGGCAATTGTGACAGAAGCTGAAAAACTGAAGAACTCTGAAGATGACAAGAAGAAAGTCCTACTCACCACATTACCAGAACCTCAGAAATTGTTTGCACAAACTGTAAGAAACGGCATTAAAAATGTACACTATTTACCAACTGAGACCAATGCGTCTTTTAAAAAATTCAATATTGAAGAATTTGGCAAGGCATTTGAAAACAACTCCTATAAATTCCTGAAAGACACTGCCAACCATAATGCCATGAGCTCCATTGCCACTAGTGCGAGCTGTGATCATCTCAAGGAGAGAAGTAATGTTTCAGTCTTCCAGAAGCCCAGTTTTAACTGCAAGTCTATCCCAGATCCAGCAAATTTCAACATAAATAGTCATACCAGTACACACAATGAAAGTGATCAACCCAAATCTCTAGAAAATATACCTAGTAAAGAATCAAAAGATGGATCTCCAGTTCAACCAACTCTTCTATCCCTAATGAAGGATAGGAGATTAACACTGGAGCAAGTGGTGGCCATAGAAGCTCTGACCCAACTGTCAGAAGCTCCATCAGAAAATTCTTCACCATCAAAGTCTGAGAAGGATGAAGAAACAGAGCACAGAACAGCAAGTTTGCTTAATAGCTGTAAAGCTATCCTTTATTCAGTAAAAAAAGACCTCCAAGACCCAACCTTACAAGGGGAGACAGAAAGCCTTCATCACTATCCATCTTTGGAAAAGCAAAGTTTATGCAGCACAGTGGTATTCAATGGCCAAAATATTTCCAAGTCACACAACAACTCAGCTGCTAACCAAGCATCTACAAAGTCACAGGAATATTCAAAAGTCACAAGTTCAGGATCTCTTTTCATACCAAATTCAAATTCGTCTAAAATTGACACCAATAAAAATGTTGCTCAAGCTAGAATTACCCTTGAGAGTTCTAAGACTTTGCATCAGATGCCACCAACAAGTGACAAATTAGGTTACTGTAACCAGTCACTGGCCCACAGTAAACAGATAGATTCAAAAGATGATCCATCATGTCAAGATACAGTTCATAGTAAAATAGAGGAAGATGTTGCAACACAATTAACACAACTTGCATCAATAATTAAATTCAATTATATAAAACAAGAGGACAAAAAGGTTGAAAGTACATCAACAAACCTTGGTGCATATAACGTACAGCAAAAAAGCAGTCAGGAGAAAATCACAATACCACAGAAACCACCTTCCAGTGTACAAAACAATCATAGCTCATCATTAACAAAGCACAAGAACACAACACAGAAAAAGACAAAATCTACCCCATCAAGAGAGCGACGGAAAAAGAAGCCTGTAGTTCTAACTTGTCAAGATAATGACCAGAAAAAGCGGGAACAGTTGTCATATGAGTATAGTAAGCTACATGACATTTGGATAGCATCTAAATTTCAAAGATTTGGTCAATTCGGTCCACATGATTTTCCCATTCTGTTAGGAAAAATTCCTCCCCTAAACAAAGTATGGAAACCACTGACCCAAACAACTTCAACATTAGAACACAAAAAATTATTTCCTCCGCTCACTCAGATAAAATTTGAGCGTTATAATCCTGAATTAGCACAGGAAAAAACCATGAAGGTTGAACCATTGGATTCTCTCCCATTATTCCAGTTAAAAACAGAATCCAATGGGCAGGCGTTTACAGAAAAAGTTTGTAATTCTCAGGTACAGCCATCCGTGAATGTCAGTCAGAATGCTCATCCTTTACTCCAGGCCGCCTCTCCATCTAACCAGTGTGCTAATGTAATGGCTGGCGAAGACCAAACACAATTCCAGCAGGATGTGAAAGACCAAGTCATGCATCAGAGACTGCCAACATTGCCCGGTATCTCTCATGAGACCCCCTTACCAGACCCAGCACAAATTCTCAGGAATGTAAATGTAGTATGTTCAGGTGGAATTACAGTGGTTTCTACGAAAAGCGAAGAGGACGTCTGTTCATCCATTGTTGGAGCTTCGGAATTTTCCCCAGTAGACAGTGCACAGAAAAGTTTTAATGATTATGCCATGAACTTCTTTACCAATCCTACAAAAAACCTGGTGTCCACAACGAAAGATTCTGATTTGCCCACGTGCAACTGTCTTGGTAAGTGTGTGCCTGAGTGCATTTTTGTGTTTATTCTTTGTTTACTTCCATTAATTGCCTCGTCATGACCAAATCAAATTTTGGGTTATTTTTCATATGTGGCATTTTTGCACCATTAGTATTCTAGCTGAAATGGACTAAATCTACCCATTTTTCTATTGTACCTTTACTGATTTTACTGAAATAATTGGGAAATATAATGCATAATTTGGAAACTTTCTCAAGTGGAAAATTTGCTGATTTCTCTAAGCTAAATGTCTCAAGTTATTGTGATTCTGATAAGAATGAATTCCTTTAATACTTTATTATAATTTATTAGCATTAAAGGATTTCAACCTGTAAGCATTCTGTCTCAAAAATATTTTTTATTGGGTGATTAAAACCTACACACAGAATGTAAAATATATGTGCAACTTAACAAGCAACTAGAAAGTGTGTGTAATTGCCACTGTATTAAAAAACTGGGCTTGTTTTATTTCTTTATCAATGTCTAGTGCTTTTCTGCTCTGCAATACAAAGGATGTCCTTATATATGAAAAAAACTCCATAATCTTGGCCATTGAAGACTTTGAAAACCTTTTGAAATTTTAAAATATTAAATTGTATAATACTGATTTCTGATTTAAAAGACAAATAGGCATGTGCAAATAGCTGAGTTGTGAAGTGATTTCTAATACGTATTTTGTGCCTTAGGAGTCATTGAAAGAGAACATTCAGGAACTAATAATCAAAATTATCACCCTGAGGAAATCTTGCTGGATTATAAAGATTCTTAGGCAGGCCTTATGAGAAATTTGCTTAGTATTTAAAACACATGAAAGCTTAATTTGAACCCTGTACTGATAAGTCATTGTCTGTGGTCAGATTTCATGTAACTGCTCATGTAAAAGAAGAAATAATTTAATGTATCTGTAATAAGGAGATTAATTGCGTCATTCAGGTTTGTTATGCTGGTTGATGTCCTCATTATTTCAGCTTTTATACAGCATATGAGGACAAAATTTGTGAAATAACCTGTTCTGAACTCATAGATTGGATTATTAAAAGTCTTTTTTAAAAAATGTCTTACAATATAGCCCCAAATCACAAGATTTAAGATTTGCATCAAACAAAAGAAGGTTTTTTGGTCAGAAGTAGGTGTTGGTTAGTACATTCCAGAATGGGTAAAGGACTGTTTGGAAGGATAAAGTATAGATTTCTGATTTCTTGTTTTAACCACAGTAGAAAAATTAGCGAAGCATAGCCATGACTATTTGCTCTTGATTACCTAAAGTACATTTGATATTCTGAAGTCAATCCTTCTATTACTCTTCTCATCATTCAACACTGTTTAGACAGCCTGCCATGTGCCAGGCACCTGGGATAGGCTCTTCTCAGAAGGATCTTATAAACTGAAAAGGGGTGACAAGGCTGAGTGGGGTAAAAATAGGAGAATGAGAGGCTCTTGGACCAAGGACAGAAGAGTGCAATGACTCCCATTCCAGATCTTTTACTGCAAGTCTGATACAGTGCCTTGACCCTGACTTGTTGTATTTACAACATCCCTACATAGAGAAGGCTTATCATCTCCAGTTGACAAATGAGGAAACTAAGTCACAAGGAAGTTCACAGGTAGTAAAAGACAGAAGTCACAAGTTCAGAGCCTACTTTCCTTTTGTTTCAAAAATTTGAAATAAAAAAGGGACAGGAATTTTTTGGATATCATTAGAAATGGGGAAAAATCTGTAATTTAATTAAAATGCCATTAAAATTATATTCTGATTTTACTGAGCTAGCATACTTTCAGGAGGATGATTGTCTAGTTTCAAGTCTTTCCATATAGATAGTAACTAGTCACAGTGTAGGAGTTGAGACCGAAGCATTTAAAGTTTATTGAACATCTGCAGTGCAACTGATTGTTTTATACATTGTCACTTACATGTTTTTCTGTAATCATTATATATAAGATTATTGTGCTTATTGTGTAGAAATGGGAACTGAAGAAGGAAACAGCAGACTCACCCAGAAATCATCCCAAGTGGGATGATCATATCTAAGTAAAAGGTTTCCATGCAGGTATTGTGTTCTATCAAAATAAGTAATTAACCTCTCAATCACATTTCCTCAAATTGAGCACTAAGGACTCTTTAGATAGAATAATTCTCTGCTGTAGGGAGACTTTCCTCTACAACCTGGCCTGTTTCATGGCATCCATGGCCTGTACACGGTAGATACCAGTAATACACACACACATGCACACAACGCACACACACACACACACCCCTGCCCAGTTATCACAACCAAGAATGTTGAACAAATTTTCCACTCAGAAAAAATAGCCCCTGGTTAAGAACCTCTGTTCTAGATCATCAGTAATAAGTTAAATTCTGTTCACTGTATCTTAGGAAGCCACAGAAGTAGTCTTAGGTTTTGTCTGATGTCCAATCAAAATGGTTAATTTTTGAAAAATGATTAAATAATGATCTTTCAGTATAGATGCACCACAACCAGAAATGCGTTTCTGAGCGATGCCAGTTAGACATGATTCTGAGAGGTCAAGTTAAACATACTGTTTTTAAGAAATCTATAATTCACACACATAAAATTTCAAATAGTACAGAAATATATGCAAATGTCTTCTTACAGTATAAAATCTAATGATAAAACCTCAGTTTTTTATATGAATTAACATTGCTGATTTTGATATTGCTTATAGTTAGAACGTTTGGGTTTTTAAAAATAACTAAAATAATATTTTTGCAACTTGCTTTTTTAAAAAAATTAAATCTCAGAGTTTTCAATGCTTGTAAATATTACTGTTTTGATAATTTTATTTTTCCCCTATATAAACATTCCGCAATTCAACAGATAACGGATGCTAGATGTGTTTCTCTCTCTTGATATTACAAATAATTGTGACAAAAAACATTCCTGTGTACATTTGCATTATAAATATATAATTAGGCAAGTGTATAATAGAATAAGTTCTTAGCAGTGCCATTGCAGGGCTCAATTTTAATAGGATTGTGAGGCCAACCTTTTAAGATGTATTGCTCTCTTAACTTTTAATTTTGTACTTCAATTATTAATAGATTTCCTTTAAAGCAGGAGATAGGAGAATAAATATCACCCACATCTTAAAATTTTTTTCTCCTTTGAGTCTTAGAGGAAGAATGAAATAGGAGGCGAAAGAAAGGAACAAGTGAAATCTAGACATTAATTATTAAATCTTACCAAAAGTTTGTCAAGATTCATTGTTCTCAATTGGAAAACAATAAAACTATATCCTCCTTGCCCCTATGCAATTTTGGAAAGCTTTGGGTCTAATAATCTTATTCCTTCCACAGATCGAGTTATACAAAAAGACAAAGGCCCATATTATACACACCTTGGGGCAGGACCAAGTGTTGCTGCTATCAGGGAAATCATGGAGAATAGGTGAGGAAATATCCTTCCCTGTTAAAATCCTTCATTACTGTGGACCTGACTCAATACAGAGAAATTATCTCTGGGAACAAATGAGAAGTATATACCTTCAGGAGTAGAAGTGGGATGTTTCTTAGGGCCCAGGCAAAGAATTGTGTCCTGGTGTCCCTGCTGACTCACTCATCACATTAGCCTTTGGGCCCTCAACAAGACACTTGCAAAGCAAGGCTATCTTTGTTAAGTTCAGAAATACTTATTTTTATATTGTATAATTGTAGTAATAGTTCAGATTACCTCCATCAACACTGCATTCACATTCCTTATGCTTATCTTGGAGCCAGTCCATATTTTTATATGGATAAAAATAAAGAGTGATCTTTAAGGATAAGTAAGCAGAACGGGATAACATAAAATATCTGCCACACAAAAGTAAATTTTTAATTAATGTAAATTATGAGGAGTGTTTGGTTTTTGTACATTTGTAAATCTGTATCTTACATTAAGATGTTAAAAAGTGTATATCGCAATTAATTGCAATTATTTTCCCTTCACTGTGTTTTGTACTCAGGTATGGTCAAAAAGGAAACGCAATAAGGATAGAAATTGTAGTATATACGGGAAAAGAAGGAAAAAGCTCTCATGGGTGTCCAATTGCTAAGTGGGTAAGTATCTTGTGTTTATACATTTTTCAAAACTGGATTTATTCCACATATAAAATCTATTTTCCATGAAAAATGTGGACTAGAAAAGTATCCACTCTTACTAGTCCCTGGGAAATAATAAGGAAACTATCTATCTTAGTCTGGACTTTTTATGTTAAATGAGCAAAAGTTCCCAGTTACTACTTAGTGATCTTCAACTCCCCAAGGTCACCACTTTGACCAGTGTCTTGTGTATTTTCAGACATCTTTTAATGAATTTATAGTTAGGTAACATAAGTAAATGGTACTAAATTATACATACTGCTTTATATCTGTTCCTGTATTTTCAAATTATTTCCAAGTCATTATCCATAGGACCACCTTAATGAGGATCATATAATTTTGAAAGCAAAACTAAGTATTTTATAACATAAGCCCAAAATTGTTCCCATGATTACTTTGGTTTTCTTATAATGCAGAACTATAAGAACTGAATTCAACTTCATTAGGAAGTTCTCACCTGAAAAATAAAAAAGTTCATAGCCAAATACACATATTCAACAGGACATTCATATCCACAGGAATATTGACCAGTTTAATCGGAATTATTGACCATAGAATCATTTGTTAATAATGATGTAATGTTTAACAAATTGATGATAACAATGGTAATAATAACAATTACCTTTTATTGCATATCAGGCACTATGTTAAAAACTTGAACTACATTGCCTCATTAATCCTCACAGAAGGATTCTGTTATGATTTTGAATAAGATAAAAGTCAATTTCATACCCATTTTGGAGAAATTAAAGACATTAAATACAAAATAAAGATAGGATTTAAACCCAGGTATTCCTAAAGAAAAACAATTGCTACTCTAGTAGTAGACTATTTGTCTTTCTTACTTTTAAACCTTTGAAAGCAGTTAAGAGCACAAGAGCTGCATACTCTAGAATACTTTGTTTCTTTTTTTATGTTAATTTTTGAGAGAGTTGGGGGAAAGGCAGAGAGGTAGGACAGGATCTGTGCTAAAAGCACAGAGCCTGATGAGGGGCTCAAACTCACAAACTGCAAGATAATGACCTTAGCTAAAGTCAGACACATGCAACTGAGCCACCCAGGGGCCCCCACAATACCTCGTTTCTTCAATCTGCTTGGAATGCTTAGTCTTGTAAAACTACAGATAAACTCAAAGATCTAGAATGTACATTGTTTAGTTACCTTACAGTAAGGTGCACAAATCATTAAGTATACACACATAGCAAGGTTATTCTTGTGTATAACACCATGCAGACGATAATATGATCATTTTAGTTAGCACTCCCAGAAGGGCCTTCCCACACAATAATGCCACATAAAGATAACTACTGTTTTGACATTAATCTCCATAAAGGTCTTTTTGATCAACTCCATAAACCTAGACTCATAGTATGTGCTCTTTTGTCTTTCTCCATTCACTAAACATTTATAGAACATGGCTCTTTATTGGCTGGAGCACTAACAGCCACCTTGAAAGGACAGATTGAATTTCTATTGGGAAGAAAAATAGGAGCATGAGTCTCTGAACCAGGAGAGCTGCCAGAACAACTTCAGCCTTTCTTAAATCTGATTTTTAAAAAGTATTTATTTATTTTTGAGAAAGAGTGGGAGAGAGCATGAGCCGGGGGGCGGAAGAGGGGAGGGTGGCAGAGAGAGGGAGACAGGGAGAATCCAAAGCAGGCTTTGTGCTATGAGGGCTGAATTCATGAATTGTGAGACCATGACCTGAGCCACAATCAAGCGTCGGCCCCTTAACCAACTGACCACTCAGGTGCTCCTTAAATCTGAATTTCTTTAACACAAGAGACAAGAGAATTTTTTAACTTATGGAAAACATGTTGTTTGTGGATTTCTTATTATATGAAATAGAATCAAGTACCAAGATAACTTGTCTTCAATTTGTTACAGTGTGGGTGAATTTTAGATGAAAAAAGTTTCAGAATGAGAAAAATAAGTGAAAAAGTGCACTTCCTGAATCATTTCTATTGCCAGGCCTTGGGCTAGATATTAGGGATGCAAACATGAATTAAGATCTACCAGGCATTTCATTTTGTAGGTGGGAACAAACTGGCCAGGGTTTTATCAGCCATCACATAGTTTGAAACTAGGCTAGCTGAGTATGTTTGCTGGGCCACCTTGCCTCTCAGGAACTAATAAATAAAATCTCCTCAAAATTCCCCCCAACTAGTTTTGAATGATTGTTCCCTCATTTCATGTCCTAACCATGCACTGGTTTTCAGACTGTCAACTCGGCTATGAAAGTACATCCTTTCCTCAGTCCCCACTAAACACCCATATGAATCAGTCTCAATGTGTAACAGTTTTGGCCAAGACATATCTAAACAGTAGCCAAAGTGATGTTTATTTTTATATTTTATTCACTCTTGAAAAATACAGGCGATTTGAAACATTTTGAAGTAGGAAATAATATACAGATTGCCCATTTTTCTATTGGATTATTAGTCTTCTATTGATTTTATGCAGCCTCTTTGAAAAATTGACATCTGTGATAAAAGTTGCAGATGTATTTCCACTATATGTCAATGTTTTAAATATTTGGTTTTTTAAAATGAAATTTAAAATTTTTTAACAATTTTAAAGATGGAAAAAAGGTTTTAAGATAACCTTTCATCTGTTTTTTGACTTTAGCCTTGATTAGAAAAATCTGTACCACTTCTAGCATATAAGTTTATAAAAAATCTTTCATTTCCTTTTTGTCATATCTGATAGAGGGAATTCCTTCTAATTTTAAGAAATCTCTTGACTATTCTTGCCTTATTTTTCCTAAGTTAATAATCATCTTGTCTAGTTGCAAGAATAAAGTCCTATTGGTGTTATTGTAATCATATGGTACAGAGAATTTAGAGAATATACTTCTTTTTGATATTTAGTCTTTCTTTCCTACAAAGGATACCTTTTCATCAGCTAGGGTCTTTTTTTTGTCCTTCAGAGGTGCTTTCATTTTTTTGAAAGATTTTATTTTTAAATAAACTCTAGACCCAACATGTAGAAAGACTCCAAAACCCTGAGATCAAGAGTCACATGCTCCACTGACGAAGTTAGCCAGGTGCCGTTCCTTCAGACGTATCTTAGTTTTATTCCCAGAGTTTATCTATTTCTTTTTTTTGTTGCTGTTTTGTTTCTTGTTTTTCAGTTTATTTTTCTTGTGTATCTCAGACGTACAATCATGTATAGTGACAAATTTATATTCTTTTCAAATTTTATATTATTAATTTCTTTAATTTCATACAGTTATGGAGAGTAACTTCAGTTTTATATTGCTTTAAATGTGGTCCCCTTATCTTATTCCTCTCCTTAGTGGGAACTTTCCAGGGCTTTCTCTTGAATGGGTCATCAGGAAAGGCCTCTCTGGGGGAGGGAACATTTAAGCTGAGAAACTGAGTGACAAAAAAGGAGCCAAGTATGCAAAGAATACTCCCAAGAATGCAGGGAAGAACATTCCTAAGCCAGAGAAAACCGCAAAAAAAAAAACAGGTAAAAGAGTATATTCGCTCATAATCTCAGAGGAGTCTGTTGACTGAGAATGGATGCACGTGAAGGTAAAAAGGTATTGGCAGAAGCTGGGGCGTGAATGGTTTGTAGACCATAGTGGGCAGTTTGGATTTTAGTGCATGAGCAACGTGAAGTCTTTGAGGTGTTTTAGTTAGGGATGTGTTAATCTAGCTGATTTATGTTTTATAATAGAGCGTTCTAAGGAATTAATTGACAAATCTGTATTAGTTATCTGTTGCTGCTTCACAAGTACGTCAAAATTTAGTAGCTTTGAACAAGAATCTATTATCTCAGAGTTCTTGGGGATCAAGAATCTGAGGGTAGAGGTGCCTGGCTGGCTCAGTCAGCAGAACATTTGACTCAATTTCAGGGTTGTGAGTTCAAGCCACATGTTCAGCATGGAGCCTACTTAAAAACAAAACAAAACAAACTTTAAGAATTTGAGAGTAGCTTACCAGAGTGCTTCTGGAAAAGGGTCTCTCATGAGGTTGCAGTCATCTGCAAATTTGGGGAGGATGGAGTGGAGCTGAAAGGTTTACTTCCCAGATCACTTGCGGGAGTCTTTTGACTGATGGCTGTTTGCTAGAGGCCTCAATTTCTTATTATAGGACTTATGTGGTTCTCCATGCCATGGCACGTTTTCCCTATAGTAAGTCAATCAAAAGATAACAAGGAAAGAGCTGCAATATCTTTTTGTTTTTTGAGAGAGAGAGAGAGAGAGCAAACACAAGGGAGGGGTGGGAGGGAGAGAGAATCTCAAGCAGACTCTGAGCTGACAGTGCAGAGCTTAACTATGGAGCTCAATCTATTGTACTGTGACATTTTGACCTGAGCCAAAATCAAGAGTTGGACATTTAACTGACTGAGCCATACAGGCACCCCTCCAATGTCTTTTGGGACGTTAGTCTTGTAAGTTGCTACACAACTGAAACCTATTCCATTCAGGAAGGTTCTATGCAAGGGTGTAAATACTAGGTGGTGGTAATCATTGGAGGCATCTTGGAGATAGAAATAATGTTTAAGACGCTATTTTGCATAGTAAAATATATCGATCTCAGCCTTATCCAATATAGTTAATATATAATACAATCTAACAGTCCTATATTTTTCTAAAGAGGAAAGGAAGTCCTTTGTGAATTTTATTCACAATAATGCTGTTAAGTATTAACATTGTTCATTATAGAATACGTCAACAGAAAAGCTCAGGAAATATTAAATACAATTTACCTATATTTGTAAAGAAAACACTCATAGGTCAAAATAGAGCATGCTTAGATGCCGAGATGCCCAGGAACTTCCCATCCTGACTTTTGAAGTAATAATTTTCTTGTTTCTCCTGCCCTCCCCCTATTCATATTATTAAACAGTAGAGTATTGTTTGGCTTCAATATTTTGATTCTCGCCTTTACATAGTATGTTGTGCATTTGCGGAAATAAATAGTAGAGATTCCCAGTACCTGGTATTG